CCCCCCGCCGCCTGTGGCTCAGTACTTTGAGTTTCTGTGATTTATTTTAATACCTATTCATTTTAGTTTCATATCTTTATTCAGAGTTGCCACAGCCAGGGAATACCGGGATAGTTGGGAAATGTCAGGGAATTTTCAAAAGTTAGAAGAAATGACGAACATGTTAGGAAAAATCACGATAATGTCAAGGTAAATTGCACTAATGTCAAGGAAAATTACGTTAATGTCAGGGTAAATGACGAAAATGTCAGGAAAAATTTGTGTAATCACCTTTACTCTCTTTCTAAAATGGGTTTGTGGTTTCGGACAACAAATGTTGCCTGAAAACTATTTTCAATTATGTCATTCTTAACCATCTGTCATATCCTCAACTGTCAGGAAATTTCACCAAAATGTGTTAGGGAAATCAGGGAAATGTCAGGGAACTTCATTTTCCAAATACTGTGGCAACCGCCTGTTCATTTATTGTATGTGAAACTTTTGATCGCCTTTGTAATTTAAGAAGGGGAATGATAAAATGTCACAATAAGTTGCACCACCAATTCAATATAGTTTTCCAAACGTCTCTCGAAAGAGTACTTACTTTTTTTTTTTTTTTTTTTNTTTTTTTTTTTTTTTTTTTTTTTTTTTTTTTTTTTTTTTTTTTCCTTTTTCTTTTTTTTGCCAGTTTTAGATGATTATTGATAAAGCGAACAGACTTCTCTGATGAACTTGAGAGACAAATATTCGAAATTACCCTGAAAAATCTGTGTTTTTTTTCCCAACGCTTCGGCAACACCCGAAGGTTCCAGGGCCGAATTAAGGGGGTGGCCACATGGGCCGCGGCCCATGGCGGCAAATCCAAGGGGCGGCAAAAATTTGCAATTTTTTAACGTGTAGGTATAAAAAAAATTGGATTTATAAAAACAAAATTACAAACGAGAAAAGGCGACAAAATCTCTCATTTTTTGAGAGCATAGTAATTTCTAATTTTGTTGTCTCTTAGTGATACAAGAGGCAGGCATCTTCAATAAGTCGAGTTAAGAGAGAGACCAAACACGCAATTTGGCCTGGAACGGCGCGGCGCGACTTAGAGAGAAATGATAACGAGGACTTGAGATGAAAAGGAGAAGCCCTCGGCGCGGCGATCGGCACGTAACACATATTAGCGCCTACAAGACTGCACGAATACTTCACCCGTTGCATCAAACACAGTGCGGTCAGCGTGAAACGGATAGCGCCTACAAGAATGCATGAATACTTCACGCATTGCTCCAAACACAGTGCGGTCAGCGTGAAACGCATAGCGCCTACAAGACTGCGTGAATACTTCACGCATTGCGTCCAACACAGTGCGTTCTGCAGCGGTAGGCGTGAAACGCATAGCGCCCACAAAACTGTCGGAATACTTCACGCATTGCGCCAAACACGGTGCGGTCTACGCGGTGCGGCGGCGGAAGTTAAAATCATTGAACCACATTTAAGTTTGTTCTTTCATAATTTTTTCCTTCATTTCTTATGAATGGAAATTGGAAGGCCTTGTCCACGCAGAGATAGGTTTACGGAACTTAACTTTCGCGCAAAGTTCCGTGAACTTTTGCTAGTAGTGTTGACAGGGCTTTCCCAAAAAAATGTGTTCAACACGAGTAAATGCGTCTTATGCACCCCTCCTCTGCTGGCACGTTCATTTGATGATTTTTATCGAGTTTCAAAACGAATGAGAAGGGGGCGGCCCATGGGCGGCAAGTAGGTGAATCCGGCCCTGGAAGGTTCATACGGCGTTTTTCCGCGGCACTGAAGCATACCTAGTCTTCACCCCTAAACTACAAATACTCCTTCATCGTGAAATGGGGATGATGGTATACACTGAAAAAAAAATATATTGGATCCAGAGGCTAGACTCTTATAAAACATCGACAAGAAAAATAATTATTGATTTAATCGGATTTTTGCTTTAATCAAGAACCAAGCCTCTTAATTTGAGCGGATTTCCTTTTGATTTAAGCTTAAATCTGATTGAATCAAGAGTATTTTTTCTTGTCAATATTTTCAAGCGTCTGGACTCTAGATCCATTGTGTTTTTTTTCCAGTGTGCAACATACAGCAACAGCGGAACGGTTGGAGAGCCGCGCCGCGCCGCATCGCTTGGAAACAAAATCGCCGTTACTACGCCTTCAACTTTGGCGATGCAACCCGGCCGCGCACCAGAGTTAATTAATTTGCATCCATGATTGGCTGTATTTTGTATGTTTCTACGCATCCGGAAGTAAAAATAGGCAGTAAAAGCGGGACTTCCGAGGAGACTTTAACGCAAAGCTAGAAACATAAGGGTTACTTTCAAATTCCAATTCCCTGGTCCATGTAACTCATTGACGTGTATTTTGCTTGTATGGGCAATTGAGGACATTTTACGCACACATACTATCAACTACGGGAAAACACCGCGCCGTATGCTGCCGTGCTAAGGAAGAACGCAGTGTGAACATTCGAGAGTTGCCAAATTTCCCTTGATAAAACATGTATTTTTGATAACATTCATGCATATATTCCTCTTGAAATTTTCCAATACTTTAGATTCAATTGAGTACACAATTTTTTGAAAATTTGGGAGAATAATATTTACAATTTTCCCGATTAAACTCGGTTTTTATTGGAGGAAACTTGGCAACTTCTGAAGGCTCATACGGCGTTCTTCCTTAGCACGGCAGTATGAACATTCGAATGTTGCCAAGTGTCTCTTAATAAAATACTACTTTGAGAGAAACTCATGAATAATTTTCTCTGAAAGTTTCAGATGATCTAGACAAAATTAGGTGCGAACAAACATCTCTGAAAATTTGGAAGAAAAATATTTGAAGTGTGCTCAATTCGGGGGGAGGGGGGGGGGTCCCCAAACGATTGGAGGGTATTTTCATTATAATCTTTTAGTTTCGATCTGAGCCCAGAAAACTGCGGTCTTCATAGAAGACTAGACAGCTGACGGCCATGTAATTTTTAGTTCCGAGTTACGTAAATAATAATCCTCAGTTTTTTCCTCCAACCGTCCCTCCGTAAAATCTGGATGTATATTTTTAAAAAAAACTGAGTTTCTCAAAGAAAATTTAATTTTACTTGCATATCATGCAATTCTTTGGGGCAGTGATCAGTGGCGTGGCGTGCTTTGCGATATATCGATTGATCTGCCATTTAAACCTATGGAAAAGAATCGATAGACAGGGTGGTCGTAACGAACACCTCAATAATCGATTCTTTACAGTGATCCATGATATGAAAACGAGGTCACTTTCTAGATTAGCAGCTCAAGTTACATGGGTTGGGATAAATGGCATGCCTATATAGACAAACTTCTAAACTGTTTCATATATTTTATACAACTGTGCAGTGAAAAAAGTTGACTTTTAACTATCAGCACTTGAGACTATTACTTTCGTATTTCAGAATGTTACTATTGTTACTCTATCTGATCTGTACATAGTATCTAATTTGCAACATATTTAAATGAGAAAGTGGTAGTCATTTGTGTTTGTACCTGAACATCCGCAGTTTTACGACCAAGAAAGAGGAAGTTTTTTAGACAACCGAAAAAATTCACTTGCTACTTCGAGCCATTCAGCTATGACAATAGCTTTTAAGTAAAAAAAAAAAAGAAGAAAAAAACCTCCAGAAAGAAGAATTTCTAGTAAATGATGATAAAAGAGTCGACTACTCAGGCACATTTTTTTTATAAAGTAGCAGAGTAAATTTTGAAAGTAGGAACTAAAATTTCAGGCTCAATTTAGGAACAACGTGCGCACCATTAAAATCTCCACGCACCTCACACATACTTACCTAAACCCTGGTAAAAATTGGCGATACGAGCTGCGTTTCAAAATACCATAGGAGTTCTTATAGTCGACTGAAGAAGGCTATTGAAAATCATATAGCTGGCTGTAGGAAGCGGAGAAAATTATACGGCCGGGCTGTACGAAGCGATAAAAAAGTATACAGTCGGGCTATAGTTCCCATCGCCGGGCTTTACACTTTATCGCCATTGGCTATACGAAGCTATAAGAAAGTATACAGTCGGGCTATAGTTCCCATCGCCGGGCTTTACACTTTATCGCCATTGGCTATAAAAGGCTATTAGAAATTGTGTAGAAATTTGTGTGCTTTGGAAATCATTAAGTTTGATACGGAACTACCTTAATATTTACAAAACACACATTATATTTTCCTTTAAAACATATTGTTTTTTCATCAATTAAAATGAGATGGTCCATACAGAGTGTGCAAACATTTCAAAATCATGAGTTGAAAAACGCTGACTCCGCGAGATTAAATATTGGAGCCTAACACAAAGCGGAGCGGCGACGCATTGGCGCCTACAAACCTAACAGGGATACTTTACGCATTGCGCAATGCGTGAAGTATCCCTGTTAGGTTTGTAGGTGCCAATGCGCGTTTCGCGCTCTCTGCCCGCCCGCCGCGCCGCAGCGTGCCACGGCGTCTGAAGCTACTATTTCACACCAGAGGTATTGCACAGTATCATAAGAAATTGAAGGCGCTTCAACATTTTAAGAATGACAGGCATCCTTCAAAAGCATGGAGCTTTCCTCGCAAAATAAATCAAGATACTACGGCACAAAAAGAGAGCGGTAGTCCAAAAACTAACTATGTCCTAGTATTCGTATTTAGTAACGTTTAGCATAGGTAAACTTTATCGTCTGGCTGTCGCATCGCCAACGGCTATAAAAGCTATAAGAAATTGTACAGCCGGCTACAGAAGCTATTGGAAATCTTAGAGCCGGTTTTACGTTTATGGTATTTTGGAACACACATTCTACTGCCAATTTTTACCAAGGAAGTGTTTTTGAGCCAGAAATTGTATGTCCAAGTGTATCTGATATCGACGGAACTCGAAGTAGCCTCATATATTTTATACGATTACCTATGTGAAAAAAAAGGTAGGCACTGCTTGATTTGATAGAATACTTACCTACTTTTCACTCAAGGCATCATGACATTCACACTTTCTTTTATTCACGTGATATAAGTTAAGTTACTTGTTCCCACGATAGATTTTAACAAGGTGGTAAAATAGTGTGGACTCGATCAGCACTCTTTTACCACCATGTTACAGTTTATTGTTACATACCTACAGTTCAGGCCACGGCTTTTTCCCTGTTAGATAGATTTTTAATTTATCTTTGTTGAAAATTTAAGGCACTGTTGATTATTATGAAACCTAAGGACAAGTATATTTTAGACAGAATCTTTAGTATTCACATTTTATTTCTTCATTATCTTTTTCTAATTGTTCTCTGTTTGGGGTCACTTTTCTTCTTAAGTGCTACATTTGGTTTTTTGTATGTTACAGAAGAAGGATGAAGAGGTCTAGTAGGGAAATGTACGATGAAGACGACTGTCCTGATCTGGAAACAACTGGCGAATCCATACTAAAAATACTTAACGGGCCGACACTACCAACATGCTACAAGGGACAGAGTGACTTTTCCAATATAGGACCATCCTCTGTTACGGTTACGAATATAATTGGGGAGTATCGTAATTTTGAACCAAAGCGGGTCCTACGTCAGGTTGCGAGACGAGCTGCCGTTTCAGGCACATCTCCAGAATGTTGCGCAGAGGAAATATCAAATTTAATTATATCACATTTCCATGCCAATAATGCTCGGATTAACTCGGTTTCTCCAAATAATGAAGACTGGTACAAAGATATGCTGAAATTAGAGGCTAAGTACGGTTTGAAAAAGGGAAACGATCCTGACTTGATATCCTTCAAGCGACTGTGTTTCATGTTCCCTCATGTGTCCGTTATGGCAAGGGCAGAAAATTTTGAGAATCAGATTTTAATTTGTACGGAAAAGGTTGCTAAAGTCTTTCACTTCGAAGAATTTGGAGGTCTTATACCCACAACCCGATTCTTAAAAAAGGATGTTAGGGAAGGGTTAGTGTTGATACATCTTTTCTGCTTAAAAAAGCGTTACCCATATATCAAGGATCACTTTTTACAGGTACTCCTTAAACGTACAATAGATAATGGCATTTTGACTGATGAGAGGAGAATTCATTTTCTTAAGATACGGGGTATAATTGAGAGCAATGGAGATTTATCCATCCCAAATCAAAAGTTAGTCCGATCTCTCAATACAACTTACTCTACCTTTACAACCAGTGTTCACTGGAGTCTTTTGAACTAAAATTGAGTTTTTTAGTACCTTTTATATTATCTGTTATTTTGTTAACTCTATGGAAAATCTTGTATATCTTTATGTATCTGTGTATGTATCAATGTAAATCTAAGTCAAATCTTGTCGTGTTAAATCTATTCAAAATCCAAAAATTCTGTGGATGTGTCAGTTTTTTGGGAGCACCGTTTTGAACATATTTAATTGAATAATAAATTTGTATTATTTACAAAAAAAGAAAAATGATACCATTTCTGAAACTCCGAGCCTCCTCTAGCTGAAAAACTGATGGCAACACTGTCCGGAAATCATATGCTGCCGAAGCATTTTTGTCACATTTTACCTATAGTAGCAACATTATTCACCCATGAGACAAGAACTGAAACTGCTGGGCATTAATTATTCCCATTAAACTGTCAAATAGTTCCAGGCAAGCCTGTGCAGGATGTCTAGCAGAATTTTCTTTCCTTTCCGTCTGACTTTGCCGGTTCACCCTTGAATTTTCTGTCTACCTGACTTTCCCCGATTCGCCATAATCTGTTTTCGAAATCAAAAGAAATGCAAAAATGAAACTGAGCTCCGCACAAAATACTAGTACGGATGAGTGGAGGCTCGAATTTCCAATAGGATTCAATGCAGACTACAACAGAGCACAGCTTTGCCAAGTATTGTAGTGTGGTAAATTTATGCAAAAAATAAAATCTTGCACAGGAGTTGGCTACCTACTCTCTTCTATATGCATTCTCTCATCCTCACAAATTTCATCTCCCTGATTCGCCCGGTTTCCTGTGTCACTAGACAGTCTACTGTATGATAGTGAAACTAGGTACCGCAATGCGTACCTCGGTTGCGGTGTTCCAAAATCTTTGCTCCTATTTTCATTATTAAAAGGAGACAAAATCAAAGTCATGGCTTGAAATTAACTCAGAACATAAAATCACCGAAGTTTTTAAAAAATGATGTTGAGTAGTTTTCTAACTAGAATATAAAGTATGACAGGAAATCTGCAATGCCACAAACCGAGATAGTGACACTGCAGTTTCACTGTCGCGCAATGTTTTAATTATGATGACTGAAAAAAATTTTCTTTAATTTGATGATTCAGTGTGGAAAATTAATAGTGTATATTGACTGATAAAAAAGAAAAAAAAGTGGAGCTTTAAATAAAAAGATGTGTATGGACAGTCTTGAGGGGTACTTTAATATGATTCCAATGAGCAGGTATGTGCTTAGAGAAAATGACAAACACAAAAACTAATGTATAAATTAATCACTTAAAAATTGTTTCTGCCCGGCAGCTGGAAAAAACTTAACATTTATAACTAAAGTATCACAAACTGTTGATTATTGGATAACTGATAACAACAAAATCTGATGGGAAAGCATTTGATGAAGAATTCATTTAAATTGGTAACAGAGCGGAAAACAGACATTTTAAGTTCCATTTTTGACCTGAATCCAGTTGTAAAATTGGCTGTAATTTTTGCTGACATTGTTATAGCCTTTGAAGTCCATGATGCTAAGTGAGGAGTCGAGAATGGAAAACAAATGGGTGGCATCGAAATTTGTGCTATACACAGGGCTGGACATTTTTTGGTTGCAGTAAAAACTCTGAAACAGTAAAATAAGTAGGATCATTGCAGTGTTCTACTGACCCACTCATTAAAAGAGGCACAGCAGGGCTTCTTCATACAATATTATGTCATGTTCTAGGGAGTGGAGGGAGGTTAAACTGGATTCACTGTTGAGAAAAGGGGTCCAACACTGATACAGTGCTTGTGACAAGATTTTTCCTAAATTTATTTGAATTTCAACACTAAGCTCAAATTCTATCGTACTATTTATTATTAATCGTAATTTTTATTATTTTTCCCATTAAGAGCAACACAAATGGTTTACCTATCTCTTTCATAGATTTTTTTTTATCTTTCTTATTTTTGGTCTCTTAGCATTTTCTCATAAAACTGCCTAGCCACACCATATTTGGTTTTTTCATTCTCAAATTTACTTCTTCAAATTGTCGAAATTGATAACTTGGAACACGTGTAAATACAGGAAGAATACATTCAGCAGCCTGATTGGTGAGATTTTGTGTTTGTTGCCAGAATAAATTTGTTGTCCCACATTTGAGTCAAGCATTTGTCTACTAATGTGAAAATTACACCTCGGTCAACAATGTTTCCGATTTTTTCCCCCACTTTTCTTACAAGAAAGGACTGAAAATAGAGAATCGGGGAAAAAAGAAAAAAAGGGCAAAGTCTGGTGTCAACTGAGTTGATAAGAAGGAAAGGAGAAAATTTCGTTACCTGGACACTACTACAAGTGCGTTTATCGTACAATTGGATTCTATTGTGCATGGCAACACCACAAAGAACGGAATATGAGTTGTCAGTCGCTAAACAATAGCCTGCAGTGTCAAATGGGTCGCTCCAGGTAAGTACTACTTTATTGCACCTGCAAAAATAATTCAATACTTTAACTTCTTTCATGAGGCTAGATTCTCACCTGATAGTCAATGCCATTCAGATATCGCTCTAACTTCTTTCAACCTGAATGCAATTAGTAACAAGAGAGCTCACAGTTAAGGTGATCAGGTCGCAAATAAAAAAGCATTCTATAAATTGCATCATTAAGAATAGGACCAGGGAAAACTTTGAGTACCATGCCAAATATTAAAAGAAAATAGTCCCTAGGCATGTGTTTCAAGAATTATTTGCAATGAAACAATTTAAAAAAAAAAATCCAAGATTTGAGGAAGCACAAAAAAATAACCGACTTGATACGGCAGTTGATTCTCAAATGGAATGCAATATTTTCTTCATTAACTAATTCAGATTTTACTGCTTCAAGTTCAAAACTACTATTCTGATCAATTATTGAAACAAATTGATTGATACCACACACTTGTCCCTCAACCGAAGCAGAACTTAAAAAGATTAGATGGATCGTGATCGGTTCAATAGTGCAGTGAGGAATTTAGCCCTTACTCAATTGCAGCCAATATGATGTAGACTTGGTTTTTTCTATAAAAAATGCCATGCACTAAAATTCCCACCGCCAATGCGCAGTAAGGTCTCAAAATTTGTCCACAGGAATGTTTGACCTGTGAGATTAGTCTTGAGCTTGATTATGAGCTTCAAATATGAATGATTAGTTTCATATCGATGGTAAAAATGCAGAAATGTGTACCTCGGTTTGCGGCATTACAGACTGCCTGTTTTGCTTCATTATCTACGAGAAAAACTACCAAACATAATTTTTTAAAAACCTTGGTGATTATTCTCCTCCATATGAAGAATATTCTGTACAAAATTTCCAGCCATGGTGTTTGTTTGGTCTTCTTTTAAGAAATAAAATAAGAGCAGAGATTTTGAAATACCTCAACCGAGATATGCACTTCTTCAGTTTCAATGTCAATAAGCATTGGTCGTACCTCAAATCGTAAAGTTTCACGCATGAACTGCTTCCACAAGTAAGCACTGTTGAAGGAGTTTCCCACACAACATCTAAGACTACTCCTTGATAATCTCCTTTATCAGCATAGATTGTATGTTCCTTTTTCCTACAAAGTTAAAAATTAATTAAAAATTAAAAATTAGATATTATTATATAAAAATTAAAAGTAAAAATTAGATATGGTTTTGTGGTACAAAAAGGTGAGGAGGGTGAAAAACTTGTTCAGAATAATTTATTATACCAAGAGAAATTTCTACTGGCTAATCATCAAATCTGGTTAAAAGGATGCAGAAGGGTTAAGATGAATTGAGTAAAATTTTATCAAAAATAAAATCGATTATTTAATTAATCTTCAGTGAGAAAACCTTTCGATCATCAAAGAAATAAATAGATGGTCTGGGCTCATCATTTTTATATTGGAATATTTACTTGTCAAAGGTCCAAGCTTTGGCAACTTAAAACTGTGTCTAGGATTCAGTGTGATCAAGCTTCCATTCCAATGGACCACTAAACAAGGTACGAATTTCAGCATTCTGATACATGTATCTTAACCAAAATTTCACGTGAAACACGATACGCACAACAGAAATTACCGATATCAACTCCTTACGAAAATATATAATGATTCTTGATGCGTGAATACAACCCACCTGCTCATGAAAACTCAATGCTTTACATGATGCATATTGCACGCTAAACGTTATCATGACAGTCTCTGCGATCTAAAAATCTGACAACTTCAATCTTGACGCTTTGGCTCAGCTATAGCAAATTGCTTACAGTTTGAACAACACATGGTGGGAAATGACAATTGTTCCATTGAGAAGCTTGCTGAAACCGTTGTAGTGCTCGATTTGACTCACGTAGAGCTTTGAGTTTCTTGTGAGTGGACAGTTCAAATTCCTCGTAACCAGTGTGACATAAAAACGTTAATATCTGCGTTAGGAGTTAGTTTCAGTAATATTCATTGCGCGAATTGTGCTCTACGTGAAATCCTGGTTAAGAAACATGTATCAGATTGCTTAAATTCGTACCTTGTCTAGTGGTTCATTATTAGAGCATTGGTAAAATATTTAATTTTCAGAGTAAGCTCTAAGTTTATGGAGGGCTTTCAGGTACTTACTTATTAGTAAACTCAAAGTACAATTGAAAGGTCTCACACAAGATGTTGAATTTTACAATCAATTAAGAGAACTTGAATTGAATCGTAAACATCATTAACTTACGTGTTGAAATCAAAAATACTGATGGACAACGGATTTGATGGAGAACGGGCAACCCCACAACAGACTAAGTTATTCATTGGATTCACAGCGGTGCACCAAATTCTGCTGAACATGAATTTCTTGGAAATCTCAGTACAGTTAGTTCTATCATCACTGATCTTCCAAAGCTAAAAAAGAAAACAGGACTTCTTTTACAGGTGCAAGTGAGTCTCCTTAAAAATATTGATAATAATTAATAAAAGACTTCAAAGGATATTAAATTTAGTCTACCTATTCATTTATTTTATGTTTTCTGGCCATAACATTATCTACTGTTGAACTGTAAAAGTTTCTAGAGATAACTATCATTCACCTGTACAGGATATATCTACCCCTTCCAGTCGGTGAATTAAGACTAAAATTTGCCCAAAAATTAAATTATTAACATCAACCCACCTGGTAAGAGTTTCATGATTGAACAAAAAGTCTGTAACCATTCATATCCAATACCAAAAATTAAGAATTATATTTTTGGGTTGCTACAAAATTACTGCTGAAATTTTTCTTGTAAAACAAAGAATGTAATTACCAGGCTCCGACGCTTCGAGTGGAAACTTATGCTTCATAAATGAGGGTGTAGGATAAAAAAGACAGAAACAGTACAATGACATTTCATTCAGGGTTTTGAAGGGTTTTACCTTCAAGAATACCATCCTTAAAAAAATGTCTTATCTTGCTTGATGATGAGCAACAATTTTTAAATTTTGAGTGATGACACTAAGCAATTTCCTAAAAAACAATTTCGACTCATTTACACTGTTTTTTTTTTTACCAATGTCATCCAATAGTTACAGGAGGTTTGAGCTTCTTCCGTTTACTAAAAGAGGTGGAAGACAGTATGCATAATGTTTTACAGGCAAAGATTGAATACTTACTTTAGCAACACCGTCTTTGGAGGATGAGACAATCAAATTGCCGCAGAGAGCAACTGCGCTGACATCAGACATATGAGCATGTCTTTTGCTAAACAGACGCTTTCCGTTTGATGGATCAAAGCCCCAAATGCCATCATCTCTGATGAAAACAAAAAAAAATAAAAATATTAAAGTCACTTCGAAAATGATCTGAAGAGAGTTTCAGCGAAAATACATACAGGAGTTCCTAAGTTTGAAAATTTAAGTGCTATGTAGTATGCATGATGACAAAATTGATTCTTACTGAATAATTAATAATTTTTATAAAATATGTACCTATAAAAATAATGAAATTTGCCAAGACAAAGTATATCAAGATTAAAATAAAGTAGAAAGGCACAATAAAAGAAAAGTGGTGAAAAGTAAACAAACTAAACGAGAAATCAAGGTAACAAACTGTGAGCTGAATCATGAAAATAAAGAAAGCTGAAACTAAAAAACTCAAACTCACAAAAATAAATTAAAATGGCCGACGCATTTCGGAGCTCCCCGGTCCCTTCTTCAAAGCTCAATTCCAAGGTTGAAATCCAGGGAATTTAGCCTTGAGGAAGGGGCTGGGAGGTCCCGAAATCCATTAGCAATTTTAATTTATTTATTTATCTTTATCATTATTTTAATTTATTTTTGTGAGTTTGAGTTTTTTAGTTTTGGCTAAGTTTATTTTTAGAGAGGCATACTTTATGTCCAAGAGACATTGTATCAAGAGGAAATTGAGTTTCTCAATATTTAAGACGAGTTAATTTGTATTCAGGAATTGAATGTGTTTCATGGTGAGCTCTGCAAAAGACGGTTCTTAACTGACTATATTTTTGATGATGTATTGACATAAAAACTATATGCTTTAAATCTATAGCATCGTTTTTGGTATTTACTGGCAGCTCTGAGGAAATTTGGTTACACTTTTGTGCTTGCTTCGCAACCGGAAATTCTGTCAAAATAATAAATCAAAATCATCAGCCCTCACCAAGTTTTATGAATTATACAAAATATATATCAACTTTTTAACAGAGTTTTTGAAATGGGAAGACTGGGCACTTTCTGCATCCTTTCATTAACTCTAACGCATATAGGAAACATGGTTCGGTTCTAAGATAATATGTACTTAGAAACTTTCAGAGAATGAAAAGGGATGAATTAAATTTTTTTAGAAAAATTTGGTGCTGAGTGTTTAAAAAGACTTGTACAAAAATAAACTTGAAATAGAAATTGGCAAAAGAATATTCAAATTTCAGAGAGTCAACATCAGTTTAATCTTTTTAAAAGTGAAAAAATCTAAACAGAGCTTTAAACTTAAAACTCATGGGATCCTTTAATTCAAGAACACTTTATTTGCCTCTTTCATTCATTAAAGTTTTCAATTATGACATCCAGAAAAAAGGCACAACATTGCATTGTTGGTAAATATAACTTACCTGTCGCCACAAATCAAGATAGAAGAGTTGAGATCAAATCTTGACACATCTGCGCCAGATGTTGCTTCAATTGAAAGCGAAACGGTGGGATTTTTGAAATCGATGCCACTTTTTGTTCGAGGATAAGCAGTGATAGTATTTTTTTGACTGAGCCAGAGTACGTCCCTATGTAGCACCAACCATGGCATGTATCTGCAAGAAGGTAGAGGTTAAAAAATTAAGAATAAAATTATAAATAAAATGTGATCTTAAAAAAACAGCAAAAATCACACTTGAAAATTTTAGTACATTCCATTGCCTTACTTTCGTATTGAATTATTATTAACATGCTAACAAATAAATGGAATGTAGACAAAGTTGAAACAGAAAAAGTTGCATGAAGTTTGAACTGGTAAAAAAAGGTTTGAAGAATTATTCCTTCATGTGACCAAATGGTAAGGACAAAAAACCACCAATTTCATGTTCAAAAGATTTGTTCTTGACTTTGAATGTAGAATATGGACGATTAGTTAAATTTAAAACCATGGATGGGACTCTTTTATTTTCCAAAATGTAACTTACTGAAATATGTGACCATCGCATGCCATAGAATCCTGATCATTTATATTCCATTGAGAATAAGACAGAAAAGAAAAACACTCAGGTGGGAAATTTGTTCTTTTGATGAAAAATAAAACATAATAAGCAGAGAGAAAATAAGACTGACGGTTTTAAAAAACTCTCAATTTTAGACATTAAGACATCAGTTCAAAAAACACGCCACAAAAATTTGATGTTTCGAAAGGTTTTCAAAGATTCCTTTTCAATATAGCCTATCACTGATTCTTTCTGCTTTTTGTACCTAAATCTTACAAAATTGATTCGATAGAACTTTCTGCTGATAATTTACTGTTAGCTGCGATGTTATTTGAAACAGTTTTTAGTAAGAGAGCAGCAACTCCCTGGCAGTGTGATCAGGTGCTACTTTTCACCAGTAACCATGTCTTTTCCAAACTTGGTCATTAATAAGAGCCATGAAGCAGTCATTAAATTCTCATTCAGGATCTTTTCCACCATAAAAAAGAAACAACTGAGGTGAATGAACTACTATAGAGCACGTCTGCTAGATTGCACAAAATATTTTCAGACAATTAACTCAATTTTTTTTTCTTTTGCTGAAAAAACGTAATTTTTGAAGATAATATTTTCGGTGGTTTGGTAATCAATGCAAGATATTTGTCCCATGCGTTAGATCAATGATTTTCCCCCCTCTTCTTCACTTCATAAATATTTATAGTTGCTGAATCAAGAAAGTTTCTTCAATTTATTTAAAACATTGATAGGTGTCTGGTCATGGAGCAAATAAACAATCGGGATACAAACATAGAATGGAAAGAACCTAAAAAGAGTGACTATATGCCTAAAAAATAAAATCAGCCTTCATATCAAGAGCATTGAGGCCTTTGAACACAGCACACAAGGCAAAAACTTGCATATGAAAACGGTTATACGAGCTTGCTATTTCCTTTCAAAATCTCTATGAGGTAAGGAAATGCTTCATCATACTATCCAGCGCAAATTTGAAGCAACATGAATAATCGTTCACACTCAAAATTTTGTTGATAGCACTTTTGTCATGAGTGATAAAAAAAGAATGATTCAGATCTATGATTCTGCAACATGCAGTTTGATGCTATTATAATATCCTCATTCTACCTAGCAGGACAAGAAAAAAATTTAGGAGTTAAAAAATTCAATCTTTTAGATAAATATGTTACCCTGAAACATGAGGTAAAATACTCTTATCCATGAGATCCTGAGAAAAAAATAGAAGATGATTTAGCAGTGTGAGCTTACTTACTTGTTTTTGAACCGATAAACTGTTTCTTTGTAACTTCCATTAATCCAATTTTTGGATATTCTACATTTTTCAGCAGGATTTAAAACGGCATAACTCCTAGAAAAAGAGCAAAAACAGAGTAGGTATAAAATATGTTTGACGAAGTATGGAAGAAATATTTAAACTCGCAGAACAGAGGCATGGAAAAATTTTGTGAGGCGACACAAGCCTTGAGTCAAAGTAAAATCATGGATATTTTGAAAAACTGCTCTGCTTGGTACTTGATACAATTGTGCTATAAGAATTGCATATTATAAATCAATGGTTATAGAGAGACGGTAGATATTACCACATGATACACCTACCTGTTAAGTACTGTTTTTGTAGATTGGTTGCTGACTAAAACACGTTTACTTTTACGAAAAACCAGGTATGAGTCGTTGATAACACAGTTGAGGTAATGGCAAACGCGTTTCAGAGCCACCACATCATTCAAGGAGCAGAAATCAAAGATGAGTAGTAAAATATCAGCATCTAATTCGTCGAACTTTAAAGTGCTAGTGTAGTTGGTCATTTTAGGGAGGAGGGTTTGATCTGCTGACTGAGTAAAAAGATACGCCAATGAAGATGGAGGCAGCCTTCATCCTCTGTTGAACGCACTTTTGCTCAAACCTGAAATAAAAGAACATTAATTTGTGTCACTTAATTTTTTTCAAAGGTAAGAATTTAACTGTTCAGAAATGAGTTTTCTCTTCAAAATTTATGTAGAATACAAATGAATGGCCTCTTAAGTGCTTCCTCCTTATCTGGAGGTCAATTACACTGGTCAATAATCATTAGAGACATCTATCTAAACTCTTGGTTACAGTGTGAAACGCACATTAAGTATCGCATCACATGAATACCAGTATTGCATCAGCTTTTAAAGATTGTCTCATAATTACTCCTAAATATATTGATAGAAAAATTAGCTTTCACTGCTTCTGACTGATAGTCATAGACTTCTAGAGATTATTCTTCTTCTCCGAAAAAATATACTCGATATATAGGTGCTTAGGTGGACTTTCTGGCGAACAGGAATCTTCATGGATCAGTATTCCTTCTACTCAACATGAAGCAAAATGATCCAAACATACAGGTACCTGGCAAATAATCTTCAACTAGACCAAGATATTTAACATGTAAGAATCATTGAGCAACATGTATGAAGAGCGAGCAGTTATAAGATTTAAAGTATATCCATCCTCATTGTAATCTGCCAACCACCAAAAACTGATGAGAGAGTTTCTCTCATCTCATGAGTTTCATAAGCTTCTCCCCCATAATTGGGACATATAGTGCCAAAGAGTCAGCACTATATATCTGCTAAAACTCTCTAAAACTCATGCTAGGAGAAATTACCCGCTTTAATACAGCAATTTTAGTTGACAGACATGGTTTCGTAAGATGGTCGGTTCAAATTGGAACGATGCTAAAACATTATGATAAGAATGGAACCCCACCGTACATTCAATAAAGCCCAACTAATGATTTCTTGTTCTCGACATCAATCTGTGTACTTGGATTGAATTGTTTCTAAGTTGTGGAGGCTGTACTTTAGTGCTGAGCGGAAGCACAGTCAGCCCGATGACATACATTGTTTCCCTTGCATGCCATATCTTGCTAAACTGCATGAAAACGCTTAGCTTGTTACAGCAATAGAAGCGTCTAAGAGAATACAAGTATTTAATTTTGAGGAAACTGCACAGATACCTGCGACTTCAGAACAGTTGATACGATAAGCATGGTACCTGAGTCTTTCGCCATTGACAATCAATGATCTCAATTAAGAATCCACGAAGACGAAGATTGTCCAACGACTATTAGGGTTGAAAATCTCACAATGAGGGGTTCCAGAAGTGGAAAAATCAAGTTGTAAGTGATAAAACCGATGATTACTTACGTCTGCGACTTATCTGTGTCTGCCTACATGGTTAGGTTGCTGACGAGGGTAAGAAGAAATGGGAGGATTAAATAAAAAAAGCAACGAAAGATAACGTTTACGTGTGATAGAAATCACATTTCACTATTCTCGGAGCATATACTGTAAGGGAAGAAAAGCAGAGACAAAATCTCTGAGGATAATTGGTGAAAAAAACCTTTGACACAAATACGGACTACATACTCCACTCTGAATTATTTGACTGATAAAAAACAAAACATAAGTTATTCTACAAACTGCCGCATGAAGCGCTACAGTAGCAGCTCCATAATTTTCTCTCACTGCTTGTTGCCGAGCTGATGAATTGAAGGAGTTTTTGCACCGTCAAATGTAACAGGAAAACAGTATGCTATTTCCTGGTTGCTTGATCTGTAATGCAATCATTTTATTAGTTTAACGAGTAATAAATAGAAATTAACCGAAAAGAAGTAACTAAATTCTCTGTAATTCAGCCAAAGTTCAGCAAGGAATTGGATGAAATGCAGTGCGGTCCCGATATCATGCATCAGTGTAATTTACGCTTCGCATGCGAGACAAAATCGAGAACACGCAAAAAAGTGAAATTGTATTTTCCTCCTAAAAATTGAGTTATGCCTTCTAATATTTAGTACAGTGCATTTACTACATAGTGCAGGAATGGTGCCAGGTTGAACTTGTACGCTAAATTCCTTCGCCACAAAGCTATGTTCTAAATAAAATCTTAAAATTCACATTTCTGTTTTACCATCGGTTCATTTTAGAAATTCAAAGGAATGGGGGAAATTAACTGTTACCGCTCCTTAAACTTTTTTTATATAGAAAGTCTTTAGCCAGGTCAAATTTGCCCGTATTTAAACGCATTGATTTTGGTAATTTTTTTAAAATATTATGTACGCTATTTCAATGTTTTTAGAGGTAAGTACTCTTTTTTTTCAATGTTCACTTTTTGGTTTGGGTAGCATATTGGCACTCTCCCCCCCCCCCCCCCCTCGATCCTCATCTGCTTCATGTAAATCCCCAAAAGAGATAGTTGGGTTAATTTTTAGGGGTCGGGCATTTCCAGGGGTAGTCGTCAAAAACATTCCCCGACAAGACTTAACTCTCGCCAAAGAGCAATTTATTTTTAGACGTGGCACATCAGGTCAGGGCGATTGATAGACCTCCAATTTCCTCACCTCCCCCCTTTCAAAATAAATATTGATATGGACACATCATTGCATATTTTAAGCAAACTTAACCTTAACTTTTAAATTTCGAAAATAAGAGACTCCTCAACGCGCATTGCTACGGCGCAGAGATACAACTATTCGTGCTTGATGGATGTCCGTGTCGCATCTGCTAAATTGAAGGCGCGATGGCGCGAGGCGTGAACTCACAGCCACGCTCCCAACGCACTTTATTCCCTCTGCTCTATAAACGAGGCCCAAATAATGTACGTATTTCCTATCCGCGGCTATATTGACATTAATTTCTTTCTCTTTTTCAATTTGATGTCTGATTGACCAGTTGAATAAGTGATCCGCTAGAAAATGTTAATTGCATGCAAGAATTACCCTCTCCATGAAGAGATAGAGCTGAGATTAAGCACCATTTCCTCTTTACTCTTAATTTATACGTGCCTTTGAGTCAACCTAGATTCTTTTAAGGAATATATTCAATTGAAATTCAATTTGATTCGAGTAGACATTTTTCTTAATAGAGTTGCATTGCCGGAGGAAATAACACTACGTACACGGAAAAAATTGATTGCTGATTTAACATATACTTTATTAGAAAAATATGTCCGACATTCGGTGCATTCAGAGCGGAGCGTTGCGAGTTTATGCGTAGCGCCATCGCGCCTTCAAATTTTCAGACGCAACACGGACACCGATTAAGCACGAATAGTTGTATCTCTGCGCCGTCATCAACGTGTTTCCGCTCCATCACGCATTTCCTTATTGTGTAGGTCCTCGGTTGTCTTATCTGTAGTGATGCATCAAGGGGTGAGTAAGAAATACAGCGGAGTAGGATAGAAGAGCCGTGATTAGGCCTCGTTTTTTAACTTTTCTCCCGAGTCTGGGTCATACCTCCTTGGCACTATTGGCAGCATGGAGCGGATCATTGCGAGTTGACGCCTCACGCCATCGCGCCTTTAAATTTTCAAACGCAACACGGACACACATCAAGCACGAATAGTTGTATCTCTGCGCCGTCATCAACGTGTTGCCGTTCCATCACGCTATTTCCTTACTGTGTAGGTCCCCGGTTGTCTTATCTGTGGTGATGCATCAAGGGGTAAGTAAGAAATACGGCAGAGTAGGATAGAAGAGCCGTGATTAGGCCTCGTTTTTTAACTTTTCTCCCGAGTCTGGGTCATACCTCCTTGGCACTATTGGCAGCATGGAGCGGATCATTGCGAGTTGACGCCTCGCGCCATCGCGCCTTCAAATTTTCAGACGCAACACGGACACCCATCAAGCACGAATAGTTGTATCTCTGCGCCGTCATCACCGCGCGTTCCCTTGCTCTAGTTCTATGTTGTGAACTTCTCCATTTTGCAACTGTGCTTACATATTTTCGACGATTTTTTCTCTTTATCGCTAAGTGAATATTACTGCATTAAACTTCATTTCTGGTCTTTTTCGAATATTGATATATTGAAGTCCAATATAAGTTTTTTGGCCGAAAATTTAACACAGATACCTACACAGAGACCCTCCACTAAACTCTTGGGGATAGGTGGAAACTTCCACTTTCGGGGATGCAACACTTCCTCATGGACATCTTACACGGAAAAAATGGATTGCTAATTTAACAATTACATTATTAGAAAAATATGTCCGACATGTTTCAAATGTACATTTTACGAGAATGTTAGCTAAAATGAATAAGCGAGAACGAAAACACATCAACTCGGTAACTCGAAAATTCTCAATTTCCATTAAAGACAGTATTTACATAAAGGTCATTGAAGTTAGCGCATCTGTTCCAACTTTGACCTTTGAAGAGTCCATAGGTACTTGCCTTTTGGAAGCAAAAATCTTTTTCTTAAACAATAACTTCTTCACTTACTGTGCAGTTTTGTGTGTGTCTTGATTATTTTCATTTTTCCGAGTTGGTGTGTATTCGTTCTCACTGATTCAAATAACCGAGGGGGTGGTTAAATTAGCATTTTTTCATTGTAAAATCTACATTGAAACATGCCGGACACTTTTTTTAACGACAAAATTGTTCAACCGGCAATTCAATTTTTCCCGTGTATTATTTTGTGCCTGATGGATGGTTTCATTACATAAACGGGGATTTGAAGGAGTTTTGGTTTTTCCTGTTTTTGTGGTTATGCGTAGTATCGATGAGGTGAATTCACTCAGTGTTAGGGTTACAATTCTTTTTTCTCTTTACTCGCTCGAAGACCACGAATTTTCTGTGTGGAGGTTTAAAACGGCAACACTGATGAATCAGATCGCTTGACGCAAAGGCTAGTTCTCGTGACGCACACGCATCCGGTATACTGCCGTGCTAAGGAAAAACGCCGTATGAGCATTGAGGCGTTGCCATATCTCTTTCAATAAAAAACGAATCTACTATGGGACAATTTTGATTATTTTTCCTCCAATTTTTCAGATAACTTTGTTCTCAATTTAATCTACATCACTTGAAAATTTCAAGGAATAATATGCAAAACTCACATAAAAAATACATGTTTTATTCGGGGAAATTTGGCAACTCTCGAAGGTTTATACGGCGTTTTTTCTCAGCACGGCAGTATACACGATTAATTTTTTGTGCCCGGGATTTTCTGACCCAAAGCACGCAGGAGTTCCCCGGGGACTATCCTGATCGCAGTCGGGAATCATGATACGCGTCGCCCGAGTCCAGCAAGAGCGGAGTTGCAGTTGCTTATTTTCGTGTTCAAAATTCCCGATTTCGTATTTGCCTTTGGCATAGAATAAATAGACTACGTCAACAGAAGCGAAAGCTCCGTAAGAACCGATGTTAACATTTTTCCTCTCAGAGTCGGTACTTATTGAAACCAATTTCGAGGTTACCTACGAATATATAAGTGGAAAAAACATCAAATTTTAAGCAAATTCACAGTACTTCTCCATAGAGAAAAAAAAGAAGGTGCTTGCATTTCGGGGGTTTTGGAATTTTTTTGATGACGTGGGTCGGTACGGCGACTTTCATCATCGATTTTCTTGGCATTGTGTGGTATATGGAGAAAATGCATTCCCTCTTAGAGTGTCTGAAATTACATCATGAGTTGATTTAAGCAAAAAAATCAGACGTCATGGTCCGTTTTTCATACTTCGAATTCCGGATTTTGCTGACCAGGTCGTACCGACCTACACGTCACACGGTACACAATCCTCAAGATGCAAACACCTCCTTTTTTTTCTCTATGGTACTTCTCCGGTTTAACGATAAATAAGTTTAAAGAAAACGTTTTCCATTCCTAAAAACGTATGTATCTGTCATTATTTCTCCAAAACGTTGACCTACCGCAAACGTAAACAGTACTTATTGAAACAGCTTCCCTTCGTTATGCTTCGTTGACATGAAAATAGCCGGTTGCTTGCGCTTCTGTTGACGCTAGTCTCTTTATTCTATGCTATTGGCCTGTGCACGAAGAAAAGAAGTTCAGTCTTTGAACCTGAAGATACAATGTTACATATCGACGGTGTAAGTCGGCAGTCACATAACTCGGTTTGAGACGTCGCAGACTTCCTATCATACTTTATTCTTTAAACGGAAGACTACTCAACGGCAATTCTTTAAAACTGCCGTGGTTTTTCTTCTCTGTGCGAGGAAAATTCTGCAAAAACTTCAAGGAATGATGTCAATTTGTTCTCCTTTAAATAAATAACATAGAGGCGGAGATTTTCAGACACCGCAAACGAGTTATGCGATTGCCGACTTACACCGTCGATATATCGATGGCTGAATTACGAAACCATGTATCTCCATTGCAGTGTTTCGGGATTTACGCTCTTATATCATTTTAACGAGGGGCAGCAAGCCACTTCTAAGCCCTCAGCCGATAGGGAGCGCTTTTTTATTTCAACCTGCCTCTAGAATTCTAGTATACTAGTGGCAATGCGTTCAAATGATGCACCAGCTCAAAAACAAGATGGCGGAGAGGGGCCTAACATTTGTGCATTCGGAGCGGAGCGTTGCGAGTTCATGCCTAGCGCCATCGCGCCTTCAAATTTTCAGACGCAACATGCGGACATCGATTAAGCACGAATAGTAGTATCTCTGCGCCGTCATCAACGTCCTTTCCCTTGCTCTGATTCTATGTTGTTATTGCTTCCATTTTGTAACTGTGCTTTCATATTTTCGACGATTTTTTCTTCTTATCTGTAAGTAACTATTACTGCATTAAACTTCATATCTGGTATATCGACGGTGAAACTACCAAACCACGTATCTCGGTTTGCGACGTCGCAGACTTCCTGTCATACTTTATTTTTTAAATGAAAAACTACTTAACATCCAGTCTTGAAAATTTCTGTGATTTTTCCTCTTCGTGCGGAGAAAATTCCGTGAAAATTTTAAGGAATGATATTGATTTGGTCTACTTCAAAAAAATAAAATGTGAGCGTAGATTTTTAAACACCGCAAACGAGATACGTGGTTTGGTAGTTTCACCGTCGATATCTCGAATATTAATATATTGATGTCCAATATAAGTTTTTTGGACGAAAATTTAACACAGATACACAGAGATCCTCCACTAAACTCTTGGCGATAGGTGGAAACTTCTACTTTCGGGGATGCAAGACTTCCTCGTGGACAACAATTATAAGGCAGCATCATTCATAATTCTTTTTTCGGCTATGTTGACCTATTTACTAGGTAGATGATGAGCTTCGAGTGACGTTTTGAGACAAGTCCAGGTTCAGTCTCTTTACAAAACTCAATACCCCTGTTAAACATCCACCTAGTAGGTATGAGTCATCAGTTGAATGTTAGAGTATTGCAAGTAAAAGCTCTCCCACATTGCCAAGATATCAATTAAAGAGAGGATCCCTCTTTCTCATCGGTTTAACAGGACACCGGTACTTTTTCGATACCTCGATATTTGCTTACTTGTCCGCTACAGATTCACATTAAATTGGAAAAATTAAAAGGAACTAAGTACACGGACGGCCAAAGTGCAAAACCACTTATCTCGATTGCGGTGACCTAAAATGTCCGCCCCTATTTTACAGTTTTTGAAGGAATAAAAGTCCAACGTTATTCATCGGAATTTCTGCGGAATATTCTGCTAACAGAGAGGGAAAATCAAAGAAGTTCGCAATAAACTACATCCACTCGATTTTCGGGAAAAGAGTAGAATATGATGGAAAGCCGCAAACGGAGATGCGAGGTTTCGCCCTTCGACCATGAATAAATCCATGCTGCCGTGGTAAGGAAAAACGCCGTATGAAAATTCAAATGTTGCCAAACTTCCCCGGCTAAAACATTCATTTCGGAGGCAAGTTATGCTTATTTTTCCTTGAAATTTTCTGATATTTTAGATCAAATTGCGGACAGAATGATCTGAAAATATTGCCAAACTTTCCCTGATAAACAATTTGTGCTGGAGAAAATGTATGCAATTTTTCCCTGACATTTTCAGATATTTTAGATAAAATTGCAAACAAAATTGTCTAAAAAAGTGGAAGTAATATATTCACATCTGACCTAATACATTTGTATTTTATGAAAGCAATTTTGACAACGCTTGTAGGTTCATACGGCATTTTTCCTTACCTCGGCAGCACTGTGGCGTGAGCTCTGTTATGAATGCATTTTTATGGCTCTTAGGGCTCATCGACGGGGCGACGTAAATCCGGAACCACGTATCTCGTTTGCGGTGTTTGAAAATCTCCACCTCAATAATATTTTTTTAAAAAAGAACAAATTGATATCATTCCTTGTTTTTGCAGAATTTTCTTTGCAGAGAAGGAAAATCACGGTAGTTTTAAAGAATTGCCGGTGAGTTCCCCCGATGAGTTTCCCGTTTAAAAAATAAAGTATGACAGGAAGTCTGCAACGTCGCAAACCGAGATACATGGTTGTGGACTTACACCGTCGTCATTTTAGGATAGATACAGGCAGTGGCGTGGCGTGCTTTGCGATATATCGATTGTTATGCCATTTAAACCTACGGGAAAGGATCGATAATCAGGGTGTTTGCAGCGGACACCTTAATAATCGATTCTTTACCATAGGTTTGAATGGCAGAACAATCGATTTATCGTAAAGCACTCCACGCCACTGGATAAAGTGCACCCGCCAGTCGGAGCTAACTCCCCCCTCCCCCCAATGCCGGCTAGTAAATCGTTTCTCCTGAATTTTGGCAACGGTTGTGAACCAAATCTCATGCAATCGAAATCTCAATTGAGGCACTGGATGCGAAAAGGGCACTTCTCGATTGCGGTGTTTCAGAATTTCAGTTGCTAATTAGTCCTTTGGAGAAGAATTTAATGGGTGCTTTTTTCAGAATTCTTTCCATAAAATTGTGGATTCAAAAGGAATATTCAGTAACATTTTTAGTGAAATTGATGCATTCACTTTCCTTACGATGAATGAAATATTAGAGGAGACTCGGAAACACTGCAACCGAGAAGTGCATCCAGTGCCTCGATGAAGATGTTGCATGTGCGAGGGATTTGCGATTTGACAATTGATTCATATGTAAAAGTTTGCGAGAAACACGATGGTGCCACTGGTTGTCTCTGAAATCAACTCCTAAGCTCAAAAAAAGCTCTCAAGTTGAGGCCAAAATGGAGGGGATATCCCACCCTACCCTGAGAGTCCCCGCCTACTTTAAGACAAAATCTCCATGCAAAGATAGGGAGCAAATGCATTAGCAGGGTTGCCGTGTTTTCAGTTGTGGAGTCTCCAAATAAGGTGGCAGCCCTGTCAATGTATTTGCTCCCTATCTTTGCATAGAGAGTTTGTCTTGATGTAGAGGTGGACCCTCAGGATAGAGTGGGATATCCCCTCCGTTTTGGCCTCAGCTTGAGAGCTTTTTTGAGCTTGGGAGTTGATTTCAGAGAAAACCAGTGGCACCATCGTGTCCCTTGCGAACTTTTACATAAGAATCAACAGTCAAATCGCAAATTCCTCACACATGCAACATCCCCATTTAAAGAGGTTTGGGGGTGTTTCGGCTCCTGCAGTCTGATCGTTTATCCCCGGATCACCCTGTATAGCTCCTTTCGCATTTCAATAAGTCCAATGGAGATGTTGCATGTGTGAGGGACTTGCGATTTGACTGTTGATTCTTATGTAAAAGTTCGCGAGAAACACGATGGTGCCACTGGTTTTCTCTGAAATCAACTCCCAAGCTCAAAAAAAAGCTCTCAAGTTGAGGCCAAAATGGAGGGGATATCCCACCCTACCCTGAGAGTCCCCGTCTACATTAAGACAAACTCTCCATGCAAAGATAGAAGCAAATACATTAGCAGGGTTGCCGTGTTTTCAGTTTTGGAGTCCCCAAATAAAGTGTCAACCCTGCTAATGTATTTGCTCCCTAACTTTGCATGGAGAGTTTATTTTGATGTAGAGGTGGACTAAGGTAGGGTGGGATATCTCCTCCATTTTGGCCTCACTTGGAGAGCTTTTTTTGAGCTTGGGAGATGATTTCAGAGAAAACCAGTGGGACCATCGTGTTTCTTGCGAACTTTTACATATGATTTAATTGTCAAATCGCAAATCCCTCACACATGCAACATCTCCATCAGAAAACTTCTTACGAGGTGACAACCTTGGATCCGGCCGGGGTGCGCGCGCAAGAGCTTCGCGGTTGGCGGCAGTTTTGAGTAAGCTCACGCTCACCCGCGGTTTGGTCGCCGCGACGCCGACAGCCGCGCCGCGACGCTCCTGATCATCAGTTTCGCTTCGGGATCCGCTCGAGCTTCTCACGCCACGGGCTACGCTCCTGCTCGACGCAGAGCCGAATTCGCTGACGAACATGTAGATCGTGCGCGAGCGTGTTTCATCCCCACTCCAATTCCGATCATTCTCGAAGGTGAGTTTATTGAGTTTCCAAGAGACACAATCCACTTGTCGCAGGCAAATTCGAAAAATTTATAAATATAAAAAATATTTTTAATACGAATCAGCAAAGTAGAGGTACACTGCCGTGCTAAGCAAGAACAACGTCGATCCATTTAAATTTTCCCGCGTTTTTCGGAACTTAACACTTTGTAAAATTAAAACTGTTTTACTCATTCACCTCAAATTTTCAGGTCAAGTTCTTGACAGTATTTGCGAAAGAATTTTGTGAAAACATTGTCCCAAAGGGACCCAAGTTTTTATGGCATGATACATTGTTTCGAAAAAATTTAAAATGGCGTTTACAGCGTTTTTGCGTTGCACGGCAGTATAAAAGAATAAATTTAATAATATTTAAACCGCGTTAAGCAGAAAGGAAGTAAGCCGCATCAACAGTTGTTAAATTTAACTGAGCAATTTAATTTTTTAACATGAAAACAGTCGTGTGGATTTGTCTGCGAATCTCAGTGAATTTACTGCATAGTACGGAGTAAATTCCTTTAAATTTTCAAAGGAATCCACACGAACTTTCTCTCGTGAAAAATGAGTGTCCAGGTAAATTTGGCAATGGCTGATGTGGCTTGGTTCCATTCTGCTAAAAGCGGTCCATTTAAGTGCTGTACTAATGAAACAGCACTTAAGTATATTTAAATGAATAAATATAAAAAACATATTTAATTAGCATTAGCGAAGTGGGGGTATAGGAGAATATATTTAATAATATTTAAGCACTGTACCAATAAAATAGTATACATTCTATGAAATTCCTAGACATACGAGAAGTCAAATTTTGATCCCCCTCGCGGAAGAACGTAAATATATTTCAGTTTTTCTAAATTTTCTTCGCGAATTGCATTTTTACCGGGAGAATTTTGAGCATTTCTTCAAAAAAACTTCACTGCTTTTTCATCTGGTTTCATGCAAATATTGTAAAAAATTGTGCAGGTGCAGTTTTGGGACATATTTAAGAGTTTGTGTCAGTTTTGCCATTTTGGAATGGAGTTGCCTTCCTTCGTAATGGGAACGACACTTGTATATTTTTGTATTATTTTTATACCAAGAGCTTTCAAGTTTTCAATATTTTGAGAGTGAGGATTCATAAAATCTACGAATACAGGCGGTATTTCATCATTTGCCTAGTCAGATATAGTCAAATTTTGATAGTTCACGAAATTCTGTGAAGTAAACATGCAAAAAATGGAAAACATAATCTCGACGTCGACTTCTGGGGTTATTTTCAATAGCAATTTTAAATTCAACAGTTGCTTTCAGACTTTAATAGAGCCATTTAAGAAGATAATTTTCCGATGAATTGAAATCGCAATAGCTGTTTTCCTCATCTTTATACCTATGAAAAAATGCTCAGAAAATTAATACGAGCTTGAGGATAAATGTGGTTTTAAACAATTGCCTGAGTATGTTTTCCGCTCGACATAAGTAAGCAGATGTAGCGATCTATTGTTCCATGTTTTTTTATTCTTTTTTCTTTAGGTTTACCTCAAATTTTCAAAGCAAAAAACAATTCAGCCGCATCACTTGATCTTTCATTCTTAAATGCAATCAGGCGAAAATGGTTTACTTCTGGTAGAAGTTAAAATATGTTTTTAGTATGCTAAACATAGACTGTGAATGAAAGCTATCATTTACGAGAAAAAATGTTTTAACACGTCTGAATGCTATGCAAAAAATTGCACTTAACTTAAGAAGCTCGGAAAATTATCTTCGTGGTATGAATTGAAAAAGAAAAAAATAGAAATATGAAGGAAAAATTGAGCGGAGGGAATAATCTTTTTCTTCGATGCCATTAAAAAAATTACTTTTTCAAGAGTCTTTATGATGAAGTCAGATTCCTATTTTTAGGTATATTTTGTAGTGTCAGTTCATTCATCCACGGTCGATTCATTATTAGTCGTTTTTCATGGTGAACAGGCTGTCTTTATTTTACGGTTCAGACAAAAATATCAAATCTGGGAAAGAAAATGCTTTACGCGCAAATGCGTAGCGACGAAACAAATAAAAGTAAGAAAAAAGCTAAAGAAGTTTTGCTTTTCAGGTATAATCGATGATAAACTAGACCGTGGCGATAAAAAAAAGAAAAAAAAATACACACGTGTACAGCCTTTTACACGGAGTGGACCAAAAATAAGTAAAAAGACGTCCATTTTATTCTCTCAGGGTTCTGTGTAGATTGAACTGTTCGGTTCGGATAACTGAACTTCTACATTTAACCGAATTGAGAACAGAGGTACTTAAAACCGAACTAATAAAGAGGTCCGTGTGAAAATGTGATTATCACCGAGTTCTCAAAACCTATAAAAGCAAGAGGACAGAAAACAGAGATTCGGTTACACAAACCAAACACTCGGTCGATGTATAGAGGACCAAAAACGAGGTGGTTTTCGCGGGGGAGTTTTTCTCTGTGTTCTGCGTTACTTGTAAAATCCAACTTTTCCATTTGATCATCAGTGTTGAAGATATTTATCACTTTCTTTTAACTGCACATCATGAGGACGGTATTTACTCGACGGGGGAGGGGGGGGGGTCCCGCCACTCTCGGTACCTGTCAATATTTCGTTCAGGAGTTGATTTCTGAACTGCCCGTTAAGGTTAATTGTTTTCTAAGTAGGATTTGAAGAGAACAAAACGCGAGGTTTTTTTCATACTTCAGATCTTGTCTCGTGCCGCCGTGCTAAGGAAAAACGCCGTATGAACCGTCAGGCGTTGCCAAATTTCCTTTGATAAAACGCGAATTTCCTGGTAAACTCAAACTCATGAATATTTCCCTCCCAGTTTTTTAGATAATTTTGTTTGAAATTTCACCTAAAGATTCTGAAAATTTGAAGGAAAAATATTCATAACTTTCCTCGAAAATTAACATTTCATCGAAGGAAATTTGGCAACGCTCGAATGTTCATACGGCGTTTGTCCTTAGCACGGCAGCGTGGCCCATTATCACCCATCGGCTAACATTCGGGGGAAATCGTCGTTGATCTCCATGAGTAACATTTACGCCGCGGGGATACGTTAAAGCGGGATCTCTTGACATTTTTCATCTCTCAGGTCATTACACGCAAACGGCGAACTCGGTCGCTTTTTGATGCTGTTTGGATTTCAAAATCAGTGGCGTCGCGTGCTTTGCGATATATCGATTGATCTGCCATTTAAACCTGTGAGAAAGGATCGAAATGGGGAAATATCGATAGTCGAGTTCCCTCCGTGCATATTTGTCTTGACATTTCTAAATCTCTCGACGTCTCATCGTTTGTATCGTACGAGGCTCATCCCTATACTGCCGTGCTAAGGAAAAACGTCGTATGAACATCCGAGAGTTGCCGAATTTCCCCAGATAAAACATTCATGTTCGAGGAAAGTTATGCATATTTTTCTTCGAAATTTTTTGATATTTTCGATCAAATTGCGAACGATATTATCTGTAAAATTTGAAGAAAAATATTCACAATTTTCCCAAAAAATTCGTTTTATATTGAAGGAAATATGACGACGTCTGAAGGTTCATACGCCGTTTTCTTTTAGCACGGGGGTATACGTGACGCGTCCGGCAAAACCACCCTCGTCTTTCCAGACGAATATATTTCGGTGGAGAGAAAATACGTGCTCGGCATCCCAATCCCCCTTTTTTTAAGAATTTGATGCCCACCACTCTCTTGCGGGTTTTAGATGAACTAAAAGTACGGAATAGCTCATAACTGTCACAACGACGATATGAATAGAAATGAATATAGAGGAGAGTCTGGGTGGGTATCCCTCCTCGCTATGACAGAACGCCGTAGGAACGTAAGAATATTGCAAAATTTCCCTTGACCGGAGATTCATTTTCGGGAAAATTTACCCTTGAAATCAGACACTTCTTCAGACTTGATAGTATAAGTGAAATCACTGTAAAATGTCATGGAATACATTCAGACTTTTTCAAATTATTTTTAATCATTTTTTCGGCATGAATTTGGCAACCTCTGGATTTTCATACGGTGTTTTTCTGCAGCACAGTAGTGTCGTCGCTCTTCTGACGTAAAGGCGTATCCCGATTCCCACATAAGCCTCAAAAAGGATGGATTTGCATGTCAATCAGGGTTCATTTTTATCGACGGCAATCTCACCATTACTTACACGCACTCATATCCAAATGTTGGATTCATCGAATGTTTTGGTTGCATACCCCCGACTTTGAAAGGGCAGTGCGTGCGATTTCGTGTACTCTAGTTGTCTACCCAAGAAAGTAAGGGGCCTGAATAATGTGCTTATATTTTCAAAGGATTGAAGCCTCCCCACCAAACAAATCATCGTAGAGGTAGCATTTTTAGAACATCAATTTTTCTTGAGGTGGATTGGGAATTTGCTTTGATATTTTGACCGAACGAACTCTCCTGTGTCCCGTGGAATAATTTCAATGCTGATAGAGAGTGTGAAGTTGCATCATAATAATACGGTGGCGTGCAGATTAGAATTTTCAATAACTTCATTCGAAAGTACGATTTTTTAATGCAGACTTTAAACCGCCATAATTCCAGTGCATCTACATGAAGAAACTATTTGAATATCACTTACATAGAGCAAGGAAAAGGACTCAGGTTGATGAAGTGCAGAGATACAACTATTCGTGCTTGATGGATGTCCATTTTGCATACGCAAAATTGAAGGCGCGACGGCGCGAGACGCGAACTCGCAATGCTCAGCTCCACTTTGTAAGTGAGGTGCACCTCCGTTCTAAAAGAAAAAGTAAAAAACGAGGTCGGATTACTTTTCTCCTATCTTTGGCTGTTTTGCTCACATGGTATTTTAACCATCACGAATAAGATAATTGGGAGCAGACACCATATGGAAATAGAGCAAGGAAAAGGACTCGCGTTGATACGGCGCAGGGATACACCTATTCATACTTGATATATGTCCGTGTTGCTTACGCAAAATTTAAGGCGCAATGGAGCGAGAAGTAAACTCTCAATGCTCTGCTCT